GTATTTGTGTATGTGTATAATGTGTATAATATATATATATATATATATATATAGAGAGAGAGAGAGAGAGAGAGAGAGGCAGGCATAAAAATGAATGAACAGATAAATACATTTATCTAATTGAGGATTAAAAGAAGTTAAAGTGTATGGTGAATTGACAATCTTGTAGGTCATTCCATGAAAGTTCTGTTCACATAACCTATTTCTTTATGTAAAAGCATTTTTTAAAATACATTTAACAGTGAGAAAAGAACATAATAAAAACTGTTAACAAGAATTTAGGGCCTCTATCTAGGATGTTTTTAGATGATGATTAGACTTGCTAGTGCAGATATTCATCAGGTCAACTTGTTCGGGTTGTTCAGATTTATCAGGCAAGAATATGGTTGTAGTTGTGAACTTCATAGTTGAAAAAAAAAATAAAGTAAGATTGAAAGTGACAAGAGTGTGGCTTTAGAGAAGAGCTCAGTTGAAATTTATTGTGACATCATCATATTTGACCTCTAATTTAAGCTATGTGGACACTGTGTTTATGGTCTTGTAACAGGAAAGTAGGTCCAAGTTTTGTTAAAAACCTAAGCCTTGATTGTGGTTGAGAGCAGTTTGACAAGTCTTAATGTAGAAAGCTTTGTGTTTTTCCAGTGTTTCTCAGTATATAGTATTTGTAGTTAGTTCCATTTGATGATGTAACTAATGTTGTTTTTGTGTTCAGCTAAGATGGATTTTTGGATAATGAAATTTGAGTTTTATCTTGTCTGACTTGTATAATAGTTATACCTGTTTCTCCTATGTAGGCTTTTTCACAAGAGCAACTTATTTTGTAGATAGCATTGGGTATTAATCTTCACTTACCACAGTTAAGGTTTAGATGAAAAATAAAATTGAACCCATTTTTTTTTACAAGACCATAATTACTGTGTTCACACTGCTCTTCCCTATGGCTGTGCTCTCATTGCTCTCAATCCTACTTTAATTTTTGTTTCCAATTCAAGAAGCTCAGTAATATAGCCATGTTCCTACTAGATAAACGTCTGAACAATTTGACATGAGCAAAATATGCACTAGTAGCTCAAAACATCATCCAAAAACTTGTCAGGCTTGTCACCTTTTGAGGTGTTTCTTATTTTTACGTACCATCTTTAAGTATTTTTTTTTTAAGACTCATAATGTAGATAAATGAATATGTAGAATTATACACAGACTTTTTCTATATGTTAAAAAAAAGCTTGCAAATAAAAGTATTTTAGTGTAGAGAAAAGCTTTTCTATAATTCTACATCTGTCTATTTGTTTTAGTGCATTGCTAAAAGATATTCAGTAAAACAGCTTGTACAGGGGTTTTTGAATTTTAAAACTGTGCCTTATCTTCAGTATGACTTTAATTTTAATGAAAGTTATTCCTGTTAAATAAATAAAATGATTAGACATACTTATTAAAAATAAAATTACCAGTCAGACAAATGATAAATATTTGGACAACGTTTTGTCCAAATATATATAATGTTATATGGGTCAAGGACAGGCCTCATTTTAGAGTGAAAAGTTTACTTAGTTTTCACATAGTAACTAAATTATTTTCTGTTTCAGTAATCAAGTTTTGATTTAAAGGAAGGTTAACATAACACCCAAGTCACTATTAAAACCATTCTTGTAAAGCTTAAATAATTTCGTTGTAGATAACCTAATTTTGTAAATTAATTGTATATTAGGTTTATGTTACTGATTGCTGTAAAAATTAGTAAAGTTGAGTGTGAAAAACCATCAGGATTCATTTGACAAATCATGGACAAAGCATAGTATGTTAAATTTAAAAAATCAATGTGGTAAATTTCAATATATGTTTTAAAATGTTTTATTTTTGTCGGCTTTTATCTTTGTGTTTTTCTGAAACAACATATGTTGCGATTGTTATTTTACTTCCATAAGGTCCTGATATTTGTGTTAATTGTTTGGAGGGGATAAGCTAAAGCGCATCAAACGTGAAAATAATTTCAATTATTTATTACTTATTGTTACCATGAGCCATGCTTCTTTGTGTAAATAAGATGTTCAAAATATCATTGAAAACTGTACTGTGACACCCATCCAAGATATAGAGTTAACAGGAGAGTTAGGGCTTCTTTTGTACCAAATATGGTAGCACAGCTGAGTCTTTAGTTTATGTTGTATTTGTCAAATGAAGGAACTTGTTTATAATTACAGAAAATTTAAACAAAAATACTATTTTGAAAAATCTTTATAAAGTTTCAACTGTATAGTACTAAAAAAAAGTGTGATTTATAAATACAATATTCTTTTATAGTATTTTTTTATGATTAGCTATAATTACATTGAAAAAACCAAACAAACTTGAAAATATTAAGACTGAATAAGTGTTCAAAATACCATATGGAGCAGCATTTTATGTATAGATAATACCCTGAGCCATTTTCATAATTGGCTTATTCCTGTATTTAGAAGTTAGATAAAACACTCATTGTAATGTTTAGTATTAATAGATTTGTTCTGTGAACTTGTTGCTTTGCCAAATGTTTGACATAATAAACTTTTAACAGTCACAGTTCTAGTTTCTTAAGCATTTACACTTGTTTAACAAACAGAATGGAGGCATTAAACTTGCTAGCATTTAGGTGAGAAGAAAGAAAAATGGATATTTTAAAAAACAAATAGAAATGTAACATGTTTGGAAAAATTAAAACCAGAAGAATTTTCATTTCACATTAACAGAAAATGTTGGTTTAGCTATTCTAAAATGTGATTAAAGGTTTAATATAAATTATTACAAAAACCTATGGCCATACTTTCAATAGACATATTCCTAATTCCAACTTTGGGTTTGAGTACAATGAAAAAATTACTAAAAATATACTCTACTGTCAGGCTATAAGCTAAAATGTCATATATTATCCATCTTATGTCCAGGAGAAAGATAGAATCTATTGGCAAGATGACAGCAATGACCCAAGAAGAGATCATTACCAACACAAAAACTGTCCTTCAAGGATTGGAAGCACTAAAAAATGAGCACAACTCGATTTACAATGGACTCATGTCTTCACTGAAGGCAGTCCAACGAGAAAATGGGGACAGCAACCTGATGGAAGAGAAGGCTAACATAATTAAGAAAAATTTGGAATCCATTGATCTTGGCTTAGGCGAAGCTCAGGTAAAAATTACTTCTTTTTTTTTTAAACTAAAATCTTTGCTGTTGTATAATTGTAAATACAATAAAATTTATTAGTATTCAGTATTATATTCTAGTCAAATTGTTTCTTTTTATATATAATACAGTTTCTATGCTTTGTTAATATATAAACTTATAGAGTCTGCATTTAGTGAAAATTAGATCAAAAATTTGAATTTTTTAGCTCATATATTCTGAGGAGTTATATATACTACAATTTTTAAAAAAGATGGTGTTTTAAAAATGAAATACATTTCTTGAAGAACTTCAAATTGAGCTTTTTTTCACTCATTTATTTAAAATAAAATGCATATTTCTAAATATTATCCATAAATTCAGGTTTAAAGAAAGACTTGGGAAAGTATAAATGTTACTGTACTTCATAAGATATATAAATCAACCAATTGTGTTGTTTACAGTAAAAAAAAAAGTGTAATTAACCAATTGTGATTTTGAAATTTATAAAACAGAAGCATGTCCTACAGAAAGCAGATAAAATATTTAAAGCACTTATTGATGATATACCAATTATAACAGAAAAAATTTTATATTTTAAGTGTTATAGCTCAGTTTGATCAGATTAAATGTATATTAATGTGGTCTGCAACACAAGTGGTAGTTAATGAGAGTGTGAATTCTCTAACTTAAATTCTACAGGTTATGATGGCCTTGGCTAGCCACTTGCAGATGGTTGAAGCAGAAAAACAGAAGCTTCGAGCTCAAGTAAGACGACTTTGTCAAGAAAATGCATGGTTACGTGATGAACTAGCAAGTACTCAACAGAAACTACAGGCATCAGAGCAGATGGTTGCACAAGTGGATGAAGAGAAAAAACATCTTGAATTCATGAATTCTCTTAAAGAATACGAGACTAATGAATCAGTAAGTATAAACTTTCCAGGTATTTAAAACCACTTTCACCAGAGTATATAGCTTTAAAGCTATTGAATACAACCTTAGAAGATAAGGATTAACTCAGTTATACTTGTATATATGTCAATTTGGAATTAGCTTCATTAAATGGAATGTAAGATTTTGTGTATTCAAACAAAATTCAGTTATTAAATTTCATTAATTTGTTGTAAAATATCATTATATTTTTCTTAAATATATATATATATTTATTTATTAATGAAATTAAAACATTAATTATGATATTCAAATGTGAAATATTTAAGTTTATAATTCTTAAGCAGTTGTAAAGAAATAGCTTTGAAGTCTTTTGCCTTATTCACTTTAACTCATATTATATATTTTTGAAAATACTGTAATGATACTCATAACTAATCAAGCAACATCTACCTGGCAACGACCCAGAGGCAAAAATAGTTAGGAATTATTAGCCATGAATCAACATTTATTGTTATATTTGAAGTTGATCATTTCATTTATGTCATTGGCCCTGGTTAGAATGTTACTCCCTTTGTGTGTTAAAATCACAATATCTTGAAGTTGAGTTACCACAATTTTAATATTGATTTCAAGTTTTATAAAAAAATCTGTACTTTTGTATTCTGTCGTAACCCTTTTGTACTGTCTTTGTGTAAGGTTTCTGGTTCTGAAAGATCCAGATGTAGAAACTCCATTTTTCATTTATGGTAATAATAGAGAAATAATTTATTTTTGCATATGTTATCTGTCTCATTGTTATCTGATAATTTTACGTTGAGATACATAAAATAATATACATGGAATAAGTTGTTGATTTAGAAGTTTGGGATGTTGTAGGCAATGAGTGAATCGGGCAGTGAAAAGAAACCATCGAGTGATGCTCCATTGGACTTAGGATTTCCTGATGATGATGATGATAGCTCCCATAATGATGGTAATTATATATATATATATATATAACCACACACACACACATACACACACACACACATATATATATATATATATATAATACACACACACACACACACACACACACATATATATATATATATATATAATACACACACACACACACTGTTTTT